TTTTTTAGTAACCTAAGATGACAGTAACACAGGAAAGACATTTTTAAATGTAAATATTTTTTTATTGCATTGGTATCCATCATCAGTCATTGGTGTGAAAGATCCATACTTTTCATTGATGAAATTATGTCATCTTAGGATAGGTACGTGGAACTCCTTGTCTTCCCCTGGACAAATCTCATAGACCTGTGGTAATAGTGCATTCAATCTGCAGTCAGAGAAGCTAGGATAAGGGAGCCCTATCTCTGTCTAGCAGTCCCAGATAAATCAAGTTAGTTATAATGAAGAAAATTATAGGTGAAGTGGGGCAAAGTCAAGATGGATTTATGAGTGGCTAAAATAGAAATGGTAAGCATGGAAGTCAGAGAAATTAGTGATGGAATTTGGCAGTCAAAATACAAATAGGTCAGCCATAAAATAGCTTTTAAAGAGACAAAATATGTATTTATTTGGATGGGAGGAGAGACCTAAACTGAGATAGAATAACAGATTGCAATTAGCTGAAATGGATAAACTCAAGGAGATGAAATATTAGGAAAGATCCAGATTGTGTGTTAAAACTAGAAGTAATGGGATGCTATTAAGACAAAAAAAATACCTCTACTGAATATCAGGAAAAAATTACTTGACAATTATCTAATAATTTGGTATTAAATAATCTTCATAAAGGAGTTCCACTACTTGGGACTTTTACAACTAGACAGAATAAAACTGAAGAAGATAATCCCAGTCATGAAAAATTATTTGATTATATTAAAACTGAGTTTTGATATAATTTAGTTTTCTTTAAAACTTTAGAGTAGAATAGCCTTTATGCAATATTTGATGTGGTTTAAAACTGTTTATGTATCCAAAGTTTGTTCTTCATTGGTGTTATGGTAGTAAATCCAACAATAAGAAGGGGATTATTATCTAAAGTAGAGTATATAAAGAAAACATGTAACCCAATATTTCTAAAATAATTTGATATTTAAGAGAACATATTTTCTATTTCAGTAGATAGAAAATAGATATAAATGTATAGAATCCAATAATTATCACAATTTTTTTCCAAAAATAGTCATCATTCATGTATTACATTTATTAAGTACAAAGAATTTTTGCCTCTTTGTTTATCATCAAGATTTAAACATACTCATGTTGGTACTCCTTATTGTCAATCACTATGGAGCTTTTTTGTAGAAGTTGTGGTTTTACTCTGAAAAGTGACTAAAATTGACATTTTATTCAACAGATCTTCTTTCTTTGTGTGTTCAGAGTCGTTATGATTACATTATTTTTGTTTCTTTACTACTCACAGTCCCACAGATCCAACATAAATATGGTAGTGTGAACTGGATTCTGCATGTGACAAATATAGTTCAATTACATTCCTATTATAGGATATTTTTGCAACCCTACTGACTATAAATTTTGTGCCCAGTTTCATCTGTGGAATTCCACTTAAGGCTAATGAGTTGCACATTTGTTACTGAAGGCAAACATCTGCTGCTAGGGCAGGGGTGGGCAATAATTTTTATGGGGGCCTTCCAATATTTTGGTAAGTGGTCAAGGGCCGCACTTTTCTAAGGATGAACTGCGGAGTCTGGGATAGAGATTAGGTGCAGAAGGGAACTCGGGTATGAGACTAGGGTGCAGGAGAGGCTGAGGGGTCTGAGAGGGAGTTTGAGTGAAGGAGGGGGCAGATCTAGGGTTGGCCTGACGGATCCAGCCCATGGGCCGTATCTTGCCCACCCTGCTCCAGAACTTTAAATGCTGGTAATGAGACATGCTCCAGAATTAACTCATTTTGACTTTCAAATTCCATTCACAGTTAGTAGGACTGGCATTTATTTAAAAAAATGTATAAACTGAAATTTTGATATGGAAATCCATGAAATACAATAGATATGAAATCCCACAGTGCAGTTTTAATGTATATTCTACCTAGCAAGTCATTTTTCAGAGTACAAGTGAAATGGAGGATGCCTGGAGATGGACTAAAACTCATATATTTAAAATTGGAAAACTCATATTCAGAGATTGTTTAAAATTAACTGAAAATGTCATTAGACTAAATAGACACATACGGGGAAAAGGTTTATCTTGTGAGATTTCATATGCCTTGCTTATGAAAAATGTTAAAAAAGGACTTTAATAAACCATATAACTTTGACTTGTATATTGTATGTGTAAATAGTATAGCACTCACAATTGAAGCATGATCATAAAATGTAGCCAATCAAAAGCAACTTGCTAGAATTGAAAGTAAGAATTTAACCTTCAAAAATGTTTCATTAGTAACTTATTCTGCCTTCTGTCTTTAGGCAAGACATCCATTGATTCCAATGGAATTTCTGATAAGAACCTGGGGGAACTCCAGTCCCAAAAGCTTCAAAATGAGCTTTAGTATGATGGGATTTGTTCTTTTTAAAAATAAACTAAGTCAGTATGGGTATGTCTACACTACCACCCTAGTAGGCAATCGAAGTTGCAAATGAAGCCAGGGATTTAAATAACCCGGGCTTCATTTGCATCTTGCCGGGCGCCGCCATTTTTAAATCCCCGGTAGTTCGGACTCTGTGCCCGCGGCTACACACGGCACAGAGTACGTAGTTCGAATTAGGCTTTCTAATTTGAACTACCATTACACCTCGTTCCACAATACCTCGTGCCACGAGGAGTAACGGTAGTTCGAATTAGAAAGCCTAATTCGAACTACCTACTCTGTGCCGCGTGTAGCTGTGGGCACGGAGTCCGAACTACCGGGGATTTAAAAATGGCGGCACCCAGCAAGATGCAAATGAAGCCCGGGATATTTAAATCCCGGGCTTCATTTGCAACTTCGATTGACTACATTAACCACCCTAGTTCGAACTAGGGTGGTAGTGTAGACATACCCTAAGTCTTTCGGCCTTTTATACTGCACCCATCACCGTAGCATGTGAATGGATTTGCCTGCTTGGCTATAAAGGCACAATATGCACAAGGCTGATAAGTCTCCACTACCACAAACCCCAAAAGGAGCTTGGCATGGCATATACCATTGGGGTCAGGGAGCACAAAGTCATAAACCTTCAAATCATGTAACATATTAAAAGAAATGCCACATTATTGAGTGTTCTTGGTTGTCCATGTTCCCTCAGGAGCTGATAAGTACAGCTCTGCAAATCCACAGATATCCGATATCCGCAGCTCATTTTTGGTGATACACAGTTTTGTAGCTGCACAGGGCTACTGATGACTACATTTCAGAAGATGTAAACAAAAACAGATAGGAGGATTTCAGCCAAAACACTCTGCAATTATTTAGTAATTTTATATCTAGATCTCAGATAACTTATATGTGATTATTTTTATCCATATTTTATAAATGGAAAAACTAAGCAATAGATATTTTAAGAGGTTTGATTAAGTTCACACAGTATGTCAGTGACATAGCTTGTAATATGACCAAAGTCTCCTCACTCCTGATCCTGCATCTGCATGCTTCTTGTTACGTAGGTCTTAAAGCACAGAATTGCACTTAGCTCATTTTTAATAAATAAGAATCTTATGCTTTTTTTGTAATATTACATAGTACCTTTTGCTGTTGATGAAATGTAACTCAAATATTAGAGATGAAAAGCTTCAGATTAGATGCAAAACAATTCAAACATTAATCTATTGTTTTAGATTAATATTTTGAATACACATATTGAATAATTTGGAAAATATTAATTATTCTCCATTTTTAAATGTATCACACTTTTAAACATTTGACTGACATTCTCAGCACATAAATATTGTGGCAACTTGTATTTTACGTAAAACAAATAGATGGGTAGACTAGAACAAGCTTATTTTCTAGGGCAGACATTTTATTTGAGAGTTAGCTCTTGAAATCAGAATAATAAGCCATTAATGTCAGAAAAAGGAAATCATTTTATAATATTTAAATGCTTTTATTGTTGCTGATATTGAGATGACAAATTTTGGTAAAAATTTAAAAACTGAAAACTCTTATCCCCAACTTTTCTATCACATGTATCTTTCATGTATGAATGAATGGATGTCAATATTTCAGTGTATATGTATTTTTTGTGCAGAGAAGCTGTTCTGTTAATATTGTATTATAAGGCATGTGATATATTAAAAATCAAGAAATGTATATTACAAACAAAATGAGAAAAATCATTTATATATTTGTTCAGTCAGATTCTCACCTCACAAAAATGTGAATCAAAAGTTAATCTACAGGTACTGAAATTAGTGATGTTACACTGGCGTAAAACTTGTTTAAGTCATAGGAAAAATCTGTTCTTTTAGGGAAATGCTCCTCACTGAAAGTATTTCAGCAGAGATAATAAGCATGGAAAAATCATGCATCCTATAAATGAAACAAATTTTACCTTTAGAGTGTGCCCTTCTCAAAAAATGCTATGTTTACATAAGATGAATGACGTTATCCTGCATAATACATTTCTATATACTTGTGAGAGTGAAACTTTGAACAATTAATTTCATGTCACATTTGGAGCTAAGCACGTCATCCAATCATTCTTTGCTATATTTGATTTTGCCAAGTGTGTTTATTTTTTATTATTATTTTAAAAGTTAAAAGGCAAAAAGTAATTTTATACAAATTGTATCAAGGAAGTTAGTCTTGGAAAAGGTACACGATGAATTTGTTAAATTTGATGCAATCTTAAACATTTTTTTTTGCCACTAGAATAGCATCTGAATTTGTTTAATTTTTTTGGCCTGAAGCTGTGCAAATCTAAAGGCAAAACATTCTGTGGAAGAATTATAAATATTTTATTATTTCCCTCATCACTTTGGTTGTACATTTATTACTGACGTATAAAGCATTGCATAATGTGGTGAGCTACACTTCTTTTTGTACACGTGAACTTTTATCTTTTTTTAAAGTGTTAACTAATTTGCTTCATTTTTTTCCTGCCTGTTATAGGGTAGCAAATTATGGTAGTGTTTATGCACAAAGCAGAAGTATTATTTATATATATTTTTTTTAATTACAG